CAGGATCTCTGGCAGCTGCACTCAGCACTCTTCTTAGCGTGGGTACATCATGAGCTGGTCACTTTTATCTTTATTGATAAAATAAAGATTATTTATTAAGGCATTGAGGTTGAAAGTGAGAGCTTACCAACAGAACAATTAGTATAGTCCCAGTATAGCTTAAAACCTGGATATCTTCCTAGTGGTCTCATCTATTTTTACCCAGAGGACCCTTTCTTGTGTCCCAGTCGCCAGAACTGGAATATTAGATTTCATATCAACACCCATTCTGGGAAAATGCAGCTTTCAACTTATCTTGCTCTTTCTTCTCATCCAAATTCCTCACTTTAAATCTTTTTGGAGTAAGTAGCTGGAATACAAATGGGAATGCCCTGTTTAGTTCTTCTTCTGAAGTGGCAATGTTGGGTACTTAGTGCCCATTTCCCTCTTCTGTTTCATACAAATTAGCTAGGCAGTGCATAAACTAAGCAAATACTGTTTATGTTCTTCCCGTAGCAGGCTCTTTGGACACCTACAGGTCATTAATTCTTTTGTCCCCAGCCAACCTGCCAGCTGGCTGTTCTCCTGCCCAGTTTGAGCTGTTGTCTTCGTGTGACCCGTTCCCATTGAGCCATGCTCCAGGACATGTGTGCAGGAGAGATCAGGACTCCTGGGACAAGAGTAGCTTTCTACCAAGAAAAATGATACATGATACAGTTGTAACATGGATAACCAGCTAGATAACCAGGAGCTCTCTCTAGCCTCCAACCTGCCCCCCTCCAGATATTGGCAGCGGTATTGGTTCAATGTCACAATACATGTGTGTATGTATGCTTTTATAGAAACATTACAGAAGTCCAGCAAAACTTCTGAGAACATTTAGCTTTAAATGAAGGAATAATATTGCCCCAGTGGGACTACTGGCATACTTAATGTGAAGCACGTGCTTACGTACTTTGCTGGAGATTAGTCCCAAGGGCTTTCTGTCTGAAGGGCCATTTCCCCTAGAAGAGGCAATGCACTGGGCCATGCTAGCAGATGGATGCTACTGCCGAAGCAGGGCTAAGAAATAAGCTGTGACTATATAGCTGTTACACAAAAGCCCAAAGGTGTAACTGCAGCCTCCAAGTAACAGCTTCTGATGATGGAAAGAAAATCAGCATCATCTCATGACGCTGCTGTTCCTGTAGGTTGCGGATTTAAAAGAAGGCAGGCCCAGGAACTGAGCATGGAAATCCCTGCTGATCAGGAATGAGACTGTTTTTCTCCTTTAAGAACATTTGCTCAGCTTTTTGGTTTCCAATGTTTCCAGTTGCCATATCAACCTGAGAAATTTGCCTGGCAATTGACAGCATATTTTTCAACAGAAGACTTAAAATTTTAGTTGCGTCAGCTCCAGCATCTGATGTCTGGGATTTCACTTTACCTGATTTTATTTTATTCCTGGTATTTGTTTTTCAGGATACATTAGGAGATGATGAAGGCTCCCCACCCTCCTTCGACCAGGTGCATCTCAGCTGCAGAAGCCCATGTGCAGAAGTCAGGTGCCTGGTCGAAACACAGTAGATATCAGTAGCAGGGATAAACACTGCGGGCCACATCCATCTCAGGTGCCAGGCTGGGAAGCCCAGGAGTGTGAACGTGCACCATTGTGCTTGTACTGTTGTCGCCTTCCTTGCAGCCAGGGCACCTTCGGGGCAGCTACAGGATGGTGGTGAGGGGCAGGGAGGGAGGGAGCCTGTACCCTTTCCCGGTGGCAGCCTAGGGCCTCTGTGTCCCCCATCCATCCGTGTCCTCTCTAGACCCCGTTGCTCCCTTAGTCGTTCGTGGGTCACTGGCATAAATAGGGACTGAATCTGCCGCGCTGCAGATGCACCTGAGGGAACTTTTCTGTGGTGAATGTACTGTGGTTTGTTGGGGCTTTTTTTTCTTTAAAAGAAAGAAGAATGGAAAACAAGAAAGTCAAAAAGCCCTGAATCTTTACCTTTTTAAAGTGGAGACACCGCCACAGCAGGGCATAATGGCTTGCTGTGGTGGTGGTTTGCCTGAGAGCCTGGAGATTTATGTAATGAGAAACACAATTCCTGCAAAGAACATTGTTAAATCTTTTCAAAATTTCAGCTATAAGCCATTTCATTGCTAATAATATGGCCAGATTCTCCTTTTGAAGAATCTGGGAATGTTTGACAAGAGGGGAAAATGGAGAGGACTTGAGGCACCATAATCTGTATTTTCCATTTACCTTGCTTGAAGCTTGAACAGCACATGTGCCACAAATGATTTGTTTATTCCTAAGCGCCCCCAAGGAGCCCAGACTCCATTCTCAGGCATATAATGGCTATTCAAATGAAAGCTTTAATAGATTGTTGCAGATCTGATACCAATGCGGTGAGAGAGAGAGATATGCAAATATGCGAAATTAAACAAACCAGCTCCTGCCCTTTGCTTTTGGAGGTGCCGTCTCAAATGTGGATTGTGTCACGAGTGAAATGAGTTTGTTAGACTCAGCTCTCTGGAGAACTATTTCCTTTTTCATTTTTTCTCTGCTTTGCCTCACAAAACTGTCACATTGTTTGAAATATTTGCTGTCTTTAGCGCTGATGACTAAGGAGAGCCCCAATCGGGGCTGGAATGCATGATGCATTTTGAGTTGAGATTGAAGAACATTAGTGGGAGAAGGTACTGCTGTGCCAGTTTGCTCTATGCCTCCTTAAACCAGGGCCCTTAACCTCATCTTTGAGTCATAAAAGCTAAAGATGGAAAGGTGCTGTCACAGCCTTCCCGTGGGCATTTCCCCACACTGTACGAACGAATCTGGAAGAGTGACGTGGTTACAAGCTTGCAGAGAGTATAGATGTAGTTTAATTTGGGGCGACAGTCCAGACACAACCTGGGTCTTGTCCACGTTGAGAGAAAAAATAGGGACTTAGCTGGTTCTTAACAAAGCCTCTGCTTCTCCTTCTCTCTCCCATAATCTGTGTGAGAGGGGCCCAAAAACCACTTCAAAAAAGTAAAAATAACATGTCATCCACCTAACCATTGAATCTGTGCCAGCAACTACTGTGTGCGTTGAGCAGCGGGGAAAAATAATAATTTTGTATCAAAAACACGATAAAAGTTTTCAGTGTCTTCTAGGCTCTTGTAAAACTGCTATTATCTTGTCCAACCCCCAAGGCTTTTCCTGCAATTATCAATTATACTGTGTGGATTTCAGAAAAGGCAGTGACTGAAACACAGGCCTCGTTATGGATTGAACAAACAGCAGCAGAAGCGTGGTTGTTGCCCCATACCCTGGTCTGCAGGTGACCCGCACACACTGCTTGGCTCTGCCACAAGCTTCCTAGGCCAGGGGCAGAAATCCCCAGATGGTCTCTGTACCTCCATTGCTCTCCTATCTTCTGCTCTTTGATTGCAAGAGGTTTGAAGCAAGGCTTTCCTCTTACTTCATCATTACTGCGGGCAAACTGAATATTCCCAGCTATTGACCAGTGGTATTCAACCTTTTTCTTTTAGTAAGCCCCTGCAGATTCCACGGTGGAAGAGTGGCCACTGCTTAACAATCTCAAATCTGTAGTCAATGGCTTGCTGATCTCTATTCGTGCACCCTTAGACGTAATCTGTGGAACTCCAGATGATTGCAGACATCTGGAAAACCCCTGAGCCTCAGAATGAACATTTAGAAAAGAAAAGAGAGCCTGATACTGGAGCTCAGCAGGAGTGCATGAAGAGGACCTCTCTTCGGCTGGGGTCTGTGGACAGTCTTCCAGCTGTAATAGGGACAGCAGTGTGTTATTGGTGGTGTGGGAGCAGTGCTTTGCCTCTCAGAGACTTGATGTCCTGCTTCATTAAGGTGAGCTGATGCTGGGCTTTGCGTTTTGGGATGGGGGTTCAGATGGAGAAGAGGGCTTCGGAAAATAAAGTCTCAGCTTTAATACAGCTAGACATATTATGTATTGTAGAGCCAAGGAGGGAAATGCCAAAATGACAGAGGAAAGAAGATCTACCCATACAAATGTGGACAGTATTATACAGAAATGTTCCCAAAGACTATATTTTGCTGCAGTGCTTGGAGCCATAGCCAAATGTTGTATTTGAATATGGATAGCCAGTTGGTTTCTACTTGAAGGTAAAGGTGATCTCTAAAAACTATGGCCATGTTTAAACAAGAACTGGGCTGTAAGCCTCTTATGGGCTGTGGTTACAAAAAAAGGCTGACTCACATTGGGAGCGGATGGGGTGGGCACGTTCCCATGCAGTCCTCCCAGCTCTCTGGAGGTGTCTAGCCTGTTCCTAGAGGTACCGAGCACCCAGAAATCCCATATGCTTCACTTGGCACAGTGACTGTTTAATATTTCTGAAAAACTAGCCAAAGCGCTTCCAATGAGACGTGTTTCTTTTGGCCTGTTTGTAGCATGCAAGAGAAGAAAGAAAATGGGCTTAAAAGGTTTTCCAAAACGCATGCCCAATTCAAACAGATGCATCCAGTTTCCTTGCAAGTGTGAGTCCCCGACATAGCTAAGTCTAACACAGACTTCCTTAATACCATTGCCAATCATATCATTTCTGCATCGAGCCATTGCCGAGCGATGCTCAGAAGGAGAGTTGTTTAGGAATTTTCCAGTGAAGCATTTTCTAATTAGAAAATATTAATTAAAAACTGAAACATCTTGTGGGAAACTCTTGGTTTTTGGCAAATCTCATTTTCGGTTTAAAATGTTTTAACATGGTCAGCGTTGTATAAGGAAACATTTTCTTTTTCAAATAAAAACATATGATTCTATAGGAAAAACTGTAGTAAGAAACATTAATATTTGCATGTGAAATAATGGCAAAACATTTCAATAAGAACCAAACAGGATCTAATCAGGTTTTGTTTCTTCCAGACTCTCAGTTTTCAGAGACTGAGATAGCCATCTGTGGTCCTATTTAAGATTAAGGGGAAAAAAAGTGAAATTCTGAAACCTCTTGCAAGACTGGAAAACAATTTTCCACCAAGCTTTCCTCAGATGAGATTGCAGAAATTCTCTTCTGTTTTCTCCTTCATCCCCGGCTCTCTTACCATGCAGTTCTCTTCATGCTGTTCTCCAAGACTAAATCTGAGCCTGGCTGAGATTTGTGGTAATGGTGAGTGCCTTTCTTTCTTTTTTTTTCTTTCTTTAAATAAAACAGTTTCCTAAGGCATTGAAATGGGCTTGATAAAAAGCAGCTTTTAAAATTCATTTTAGTAAATAGTTTGAAACCAGACCGTAAAGTCTCATAACTGTAGGTTTGCCCTTAATTGTACCTGACTGACAGCCCATTTTCCTTCTCCTCTGCAACCACTCTCCTTTTTCTTTAAGGGCAAAACATATTGTATTTTACTTTTGAAAGATGTGTGGGGTTGCTCACAAATTGAACAAGATCTGTAGGTAAACAGTGTCACCTAGTGGATAAATTGCATGTTTTTCCAAACTGTAGAAGAAGTTTGTCCATATGATTTTTCCATTTTGTCCTAGAAAAATGTTATTTCAAATTGGAAAGAGCACTGTACTGAGAAATGGGATTATTTCCAATTCGCTGCAAAACTGAAGATGCACGATGCGGTGGCCAGCACTGAGCTGGAATATGTAAGTAATGTGCACGGGCGTGGATCCAGTTACATCTGCGAACACAAAAGGGAAGAACAGATTCTCCAGCTCAGCGCCTGAATTGCGAAAGGTTAAAGCAGCACAACATGAAATACTTACTGCTTGGATCTGTAAAGGTGCAGCAGGTTCCAGAGTCACCTCCTTCACCCTTAGCTGCATTTCTCTGGGCATAGAAAATAAGAGAGTGTCAGAAAGCAGCTCAGTTATGTGATGAGATGAGGCTCCTGAGCAGTGAAGACAAAGAAAACGCAAAGCGCTGGGGGTGAGAAATTTGGCAGAAAGCATCTGAATGCTGGAGAAAGAGTATAATAAGCTCCCTGGAGGATGGCAAACTTCCTCATCCTGGGAGGGTGGGACAGTGACTCTGGGGATGTGGTGACAGGTGATCTATGAGAAATGCTGCCTAGAGGCAGCAGGAGATGCAGTAGGACTTGAAGTGCCCTCTGATTTGGAAGAATCTCTCTGGTTAGAGATGAGGGGCATGATACCCTCGATCAAGGGTAAAATGCCCCAGAATGAAGGATATGATCCCGAAAAAATAAAGGAGAATGGATTTCTTGAAGGCCACTTACAGTACTTAGGTTTATGCTTTCTAACAACCTTGGTGTCAGGATCCCTCATTTGGAGTCAAGGTGGATTTGAATCAAAGCACCAGGTGGAAAAATTCACATAAACAGAATTGAGCCAAGAATTATGTGGAAAACAGCCCTTCAGGGTTTTAGAAGCTCTTTGGGAAGTAGAATTCAAACAACAAAGGTAAGGACTCACTCAGTTAACACATTTTCTGAACCAAATAAATACAGACATTCTGCTTATATTGTGCGGAGTATGTGGGAAAGTGGAGGTTTTGCGGTCCTCTCACTACCCCACCTTTATCCTCCTTCTGTAAGGCCGTCAGTGCGGTTTGTGAGTGGATCCTGGGAGCAGGACATCTTGACCCTCTAGTCACGAATACACTTGGCTTCTCTGAGAACGAGGACAAAATGAACTCAGTGTTGTGCTGAAGAGTGTCATTCTGCCCCATGGCTTGTGCTAAGCAGGGAAAGGTGAAGAACCACCCTCAGACACCGCTGCTCCTTTCCTTGCACCTTAATGTAGCTGGCTGCCTGTACCACGCCTCTCCCCAGGGCAGCAAGGAGACAGCACAGAGGGAGAGAGAGGAGGCAATAAGGATTTGTCAGGGGAAGTGGGAAGCCTGCATGCCCTGAGCTGTTCAGGCAGGATGGGATCCAGGAGAGGCGCTCTGCCGTTATCACCCAGTGCAGGCAGACATGCATGGTCTCTTGGCTGCTGCTGGATCATAGGATGACAAGATGATTCAGGTGGGAAGGGAACTCAGGAGGTCTTCAGTCCAACTGCCTGCTTCAAGTAGGGTCAGCTTGCTCAGGGCTTTAGCCAGCGGTCTTGAAAAACTCCAAGGATGGGAAAAGACTGCACAGCCTGTCTGGGCAACCTGTTCCAATGCCTGATTGTCCTAATGATGGAAAAAGTCTTTCCTTATATCTAGTCATGACTGCTCCTGTTTCAGTTTATGCCCTTTGTCTCTAGTCCACATCCACCACATGCATGTGCAGCATTGGGCTGGTTCCTCTTGCTTAAGTCTTGGTTTTGCCATCTCAGTCAACCACCTACTTTGCCTGTAGCTAAAGTAAGTTGTGCTGAGGACTCTGGCTCTGTCATCAGTTATGTGGGTCTGACACAGGCAAAGCCGTGATTTCACTGCTTTCATTCATGGCTTGTGTAAGAGTGGCTGAGAGCAGAACTGGAGAGCTGCATTTTCCCTATGGAAAATTCTTTCCAGCATGCTTGATCTAATTTGAAAATGCATTTATGCAGTGGTAGAGCCTAGAGGCTTCAGTCATGGTCCTGACGAGCTCTGCAAAAACCAAGCCCTGTCACGCTTCCAATTCACAGGCAAGACAGGAGGCAATACAGCTTCCCGAAAGGGCCAGAAATCAAGAACTTGGAAACACATTGGAAAAGAACTTGAGGAAAAGCAAGAAGTTAGGTTCAGAGGTGGCTTTTCCCTGTCTGAGAGGCAGCACGGGAGAAAATGTAAAAGTGCCTGTCAGAAAGCTAAATAGTTGGGCTGGAGGATATTATCAACCTCATCTTAATGTAGACACCAGTCTTGAAGAAGCAGGGAATTGTGTGAGGTGGTGAAGAAGAGAAAGATGCAAAGGGATATGACTCATGTGACCTGTAGGCCCTGTATCTTTGGCCTCTAGTGTGCTGGTTGTGGGAGCACTCTCGAACGGAACATTTAGACCTAGGTCTTACATTGGTATGGATTTGGCCAAAGCAAAGAGCCGGAGTATTTTACAATTGTAGTCAACGTGATAACTATCTAGTTTTCATAGTTCAGGAAACGTGAACTCTAGCACTTAATTACTTTCCAAATTAAAGGAAAAATAGTTGTTGATTTTTATGGCAGATTATTCTGCTAAGTTTGTGCTTGGCCTCTGTTTTTTCATTTTTGAGGGTTGTCATGTATCAAATAGATGGTCTGTCATTTTACCCAAAAAGAGTGGATGCAATTGTTGTGAAAAGCCAAGGAAGCTCTGTATATAGGCAATCTAAAATATGCTGCAAGTTGGGACACTTTCTCATCTGAACATACACTCTGTTTCCAAAACAAACACCGGTATAAATATTTGCTCTGCTTGATGTGCTCTTCCATCAAACTGTATCATTTTTCTTTTTTGTACTAGTCGTCTTGGAGTAACTCCCACTAAGCAAATCAGTAGAACACATCATCTTCTACTGGTCAGCACTGTGGGCGCTGGCTGGCATAAACTTAGTTGTGTCACTTTAATTGCTCTGTGCCTCACTTTACTTCTCTACTTCTTTACACTGGCTTTCCACACTGCTTTTACCCTTGGGATCTCAGAGCTCTTTTCTCAACTATCCTCTCTGAGATACACAAATTACTACTAAATCAAATGCTTTTCATTTTTTCCCTTCTCAAAGAGAAAGGAATACTTATTCTTTTGCTCATTAAAGTGTAAATGGAGAGGAAGTCCACTGAATTCAGTGATACTACAAGAGTGTGAAAGCAGCATGCAAGTTCAGAAGCTTCTCATATAAATTATAGTGCAAACAGAAGTAAGAAAAAAAGCATCAGTGGATCAAGGATCCTATTCCTGGGGACAACAGAAGGAAGGAAGGAATAGATGTAGCGCCTGGAAAATGTTTCTCTCCTCAGTAAAGCCTCCTTCCCTCTAAATACCTGCTAACTCCAATATTAAATAGAAATTCACCTTTTCTGCAGAATCCAGTTTTGCTTCTTTGTGGAGACACTCAAAATAAAGTCTGAACTTTATTTTTTACAATAAGAAAAAACGCAAGTCTTGTTCCAACAGGAAATAATCATTTCTTCAGCCAAGGGCATCTAGTCTGAAGTCCAAGAAGGGCTAGCATATGCCCAAAACTGTGTATAATGACAGCCCAGATATCCTAATGTTCACAGCTTGGATCCCTGCCCTCAGCAAACCCACGGGGCGCTCTTATGCGGCCTTCTGACTGTGTGCGCTCTGGTAAACGTGTGCTCTGATGGCATGAGGCTGAGCCCAGGGTGGCCTGCCCGTTTCCCTGGGGGTGCAGGTCCTGCCTACAGAGAGGTTTAGCCAGACAGCCTGCCTACAGCTGTTGGTGCTGTTGCCTGTGTACCGAATTCCCTTCCCAACAGCAACACACACTAGTGCTCCTAAACCCAGTTTGGACCTGTTTATGTATGCTTATGCCAAACGGTGGGAGAAGAGGAATGCATGGGCAAACACCATTGCCAATAAGGCCAATTGCATTGCTCAGGTACAGAGGAACCTCTGACAGCTAAAGAAAGGAAATTAAAGCATAAGCACGTTAACATCCATCCATCAGGCTGTCTGGGTGAATGAAGATCCAGGGCCAGCAGCAAACTGAGGAAACGGACTGGTCGTGAAATACCATATGCATGTGTGTGAGTGTGTGTGTGTGTGTGTGCGCGCGTGCGCGTGCGCATGTACACAAACATGACTACTGGTTTGGAAACTTTCCATTTTTGTTCTCATTTATTGTGAAACGGGGCTTCTGAATGAACAAAAATATTGAATGAAGTTGCCTTTCTTAATTATAAAACAATGTTCCTAGACAATTTGTTCTATTTCTCAGTTGCAAAGAAAAGTTAGAAAATCTTCACTCTGGGTGCTTGCTTTTAAGCAAGCACTTTCTTTCTTAAAATGGTTAAATTCTTCCACTTTGTTGATTTGTCATTTGCAGTATTTATTGCTGTCTTCAGTAGTTCTGATGTGGTGGCCTAAGGGAAAATAAGTTTTTTCTAACTAGCTCTGTTAATGTCATTACATGGAGGACATGGAGGACATCCACGGACCCTAGCTCCACATGGTCCGTGGTACACTGGGAATGAGAATCAGTGAAGGGGAGAAGGGAGGCAGCAGGTAAAGCAGCAGCACAACAATTTATTAGCTTTAAGTAGAAGGGGGGGAAAAGGTTATAAATGTGTATCCTCGATCTGAACATAAAAAAGCAGCTGCTAGTGCTGCAGTAAAGGAAGCCTTTTTTTTTGGTTCATTTAAATGATCAGCACACACACACAAAGCAAAACACAAGGCTTCCAAGCTGTCTGCATCCCATCTTTCCTAGTGGCCTCATCTGCTAAGTAGTCACGTCCTGAATCCTGGGGAAATTTGAGGACGTAACCATTTCTTCTGATAAAAAGTAAAACAGATCATGTGTATTTCTGATGTTCCCCGTTTAAATCTGCTTCTCAGTGTGTATGGCATTTTTTTATTGTAACTGTCTCTCAGGATGACTCAGCATAGAGCACTGGGTAGCGTGAGGCTTGAGGACATCGGCAAAGTTGAAGAGAGAACTTAGAGGGAAGTATGAAAGACACTATATTTGCTCAGCCTCCCTACCAGCTACCCATTCTGATTTTCCAGGAGTGTTATGAAGTAAGCTTTTCATCTCTAGATCGCCAG